TTATACTACGAGAAGTTTCCTATCAGATGATATATAACTTGCTTGCAAAACGTTTCACTTTTCGAACAAATTTTTCAATTGAAAAAAACCGCCATTACTTATTAGCCAACCTAATACAAGTGCTACGGTGGTCAACTGCCTGAATGTCCCATTCAGTGAGCACTGTTTGATTTGTATACGGCACCATTTTTAAAGTGCTCACTTCTACTGGGTGAGGCATTCGCTTTTTCTTACACCAAATTTTTTGTGAAAGTACAAGGCTTTTCCCATTATTTTCGGTTTTGGTTGATAGACAGTTTTGCTATGCGACACAATGTGTTCGATCTCCTTCTGCTCTTCGATTTGTTCATTTTTTATTGACTGTAAGGTATCGGGTCTAGGCGGAAGTGTGACGAGTTGAGCGCTTACCACTAACGCGGTTCAAATCCGGTTCGACTCCTACCCATGTTAACCAAGCCTTCCATCCTCTGCAGACGATAAAGGTATCGGATTCGTCTGGAAAGAAAATGCACTGACTTGTCCATCGGCTGGCTCCTGTAAGTCATTGTATCGGACGCATCGCATTCAATAAGCCGATTCTGTAATGGAAGTAGAGTGCGTGCCGCATCCCACAAAGAGGTTGATCAAAGGGCGAGGCTTTATCCTTTGTCGTGTCTACAAGAATGTGATTATTGAAACCAATTAGGCTCTAAGAATGCGGGAGCAGCTCGAAAATTTGAATCAATTGGGCCAAAATACTGTGCCTTTCAGAACAGCTTGAGGTTGGTTCGAACTTTAGAGAATGGAATTTCAACCTTCCATTGCATGAGGCGCACTTTTTACGAGCGACTGCCTGCAAAAGCAATTCACCAGGATACGAACCTCTCCCAGCAAGTAGCGGTAATGCTCACTGAGGATGTGGAGGCTTTCTATGAACTTTACCAATGGCACTTTTTCGCATGAATCTCTAGTGGGAGTCAATAAAGCGTATTTGCGATGCTTGTCTGTGAGATCAAACTCGGACCTTTGAATGTTCTAAAGAGACGTGTGCTGGCATACGCTTATCAAATAGGTCTCAGAGATTTCGGTTTCTTAATTGGAAGAAGAGATGTCGGAGAAGCCTAATTTCTCCGACTTGACGTTTCTGAGTTGCTCTACTTTACGCTCACGCAAAGAAGATACCTACAATAGCTCACCACAGCTATCAACCTCTCCCACGCACTGATGGAAAGCAAGACGCCACCACAGGCATTAGAGGTTTTTACAGAATACGACTTTTCCCTCCCATCCTACCTACCATTTTTCCAGCTTTTTCCGAATCTTTGTAGTCGACCAGGGGTGGATAGGTTGCAGTCGGTTTAGACTACCTAAGTAGTTTTGCCGGGCCGCAGGCTACGAGGGGATAGGGTGAGAAGGGGGGGGAAATCATCAACTAGAAGAATACTTCTCTGAGGCAAAGTCCGCTTCCTTTCTCAGCTTAGCAAGGTGCTTTGGTCATATTGAAGTTAACAGCGGAATCCTGTTTTACATGTTTACCTTACTGACCAAAGTGGGCGGCTTTTCTGAAATCCTGAGATGACACAGCAGGACCGCCACTAGTGGAAGACCCGAAACCGGTTCGCGATCACCGAGGTTATGTGTGCCGCTACTGGATTTACTCACTTGTTAACGGGTTATACACTACAACACGGCGTTCGGCAGTCACGGGAGCCTTCTACAGGAGGCTCACTAAGCTCGCGAGAACTTCGGCGGCTGGATAAAAAGCGGAGACCCGAAGTGCCTTGTAGGCAGCAAAAAAGGTGTGTAGATCGCTCGGATTCTGGACAAATAGATTGAGCCAATGCTGTTAGTGGGCTATTATGAGCGGTACAACTCTCCTGTATGGAGAATGTCCATGCTTGCTCTCCTAGTGAAATTGCGTTTCTTATGGAATAACAACCGTTACCGGAATTGTCTACACTATGTTGATTATCAGTTGATTATTGCACAACATTTCGATGGTTTTCTTGACATAGTCGTATATTACAACTTATCAAATTGGCGTGACCTGTGTGCGCATGATGATTTCACACGCTGAGAGTGTAAGATTCCAGAACTCGATGCACGGCAAGCACTGTAAAATTCCCTTCAGAAACAACTACGTGGGTGTTCATTGAGCTCCACATCAAAGCTTACTCCACACAACATGACAAGGTACATGGAAGACCGAAAGAGGGATCTTCCCGAGATTTTCCTTCTAGCAGGTTCAGTCCCCCATAGGTATCTCCACCGCTACGGAAAGGTGTAACCGTAGATCATCCCTATTGAGCTTTTTGCGCTTAGTGTCCTTGTCAACGTAACAGGAAAGACTGATCATCACTTCATCACTTTATCCTCATCAGCACTCCGATACGAATTTTCTATTTTTATATTTTTTATACTATTATATTTTTTGAGGACTTGGCCTGAAAAAAGCACTGAGATCGCATCACTTCCAAGAGGTAAGCATTTAGATTCCAGGGGCATCATATGCCTACGCTGCACCTTCTCGCTGACAAAAACATTTTAAAATGTGGGCACTTTGGACCTTTCCATTACCTCATGGTTACAACAGTTCATTCTCGTATTTTCTTTCTTCATTCGCTATTCTGGAGTCCTTCCCTCGCTCCTCCTAATAACACCGTCATAGGCTTCTGGTGAGAATAAAGAAATAATACTGGCAAAACCCGGTCAATAAAAATTCACCAGTTCTGCAACTCCCGCACCAACACGCGTTGTTAGATGAATTACTATACCAATACTTCGCTAAGCTTTAGCCTTCATGATCATGTGCGAATGTTCCCCGGATGATCTTACTGTCGTTAATAAAGAGGTGAAAGCAGGATCTCTACTTAAAACGAAAGATTGGGACTAAAGGAAGGAGGATGAGCAATGCCGTTTCTGTAAGTCAGAATTACATGCTCTAATATCACAGGAGGAATCATATCCTGAACGTACCACAGTATGAATGTAATACACCCAATTTCTTTGGGGAGTGCCCCTATGTAGTAGTAGTGCGCAAATTTGAAAAAAGGGAAATTTTGCTGTAAACTCTCCTTACACCGACGTGATAAAATCGATAGCAGTCATCTTCGCTGTTTATTTGCCTTTTCCCCTCCCTCCACCAATGTAAAACGAAATCGTGAGACTGGACCGTTTTTGTGATGTGATTAATGACGGCGCGCGTTTCAGTGAAAACACTTCGAGCGATGTTTTCTCTTCGCCATACTACAGGAACACCGGCCATTCCATTCTAGTCCTCCTAAGTGCATTCTGCTCTGATATCTGCTACACAAGCACGATCGGTCCGCACTATTTTGGTATGAGGAAACAGATAAAAGAGATATTGGAATGCGAGTGGTGGATCAACCCTTCGTATCAAATATTTATTATCGTCTCGTCATAAAACATGTGAAATCTGAAATCACGGTGGTAGTGCCCGGAGTCTTTAGAAAGGCAGTGGTTTTTGGATGACTCATTTTAATAGCCAGGTGGTGTGCGTGGGACAGGACAGTGATCACACGATCCTTTGGAACCGTCCTTTCCAGGCGTTCCAGGTGGCCCATCGTCGCCATCTTTGCCATTGGGGGCGTCCGGTCCATTATCTCCAATAAGTCCCATAAGACCATTCATTCCATCATGACCACGGTTTCCTGGCTGTCCTGGAGGACCTTGTGGACCTTCGGGTCCTTCAGGTCCAACTACTCCAGCAGGAGATGGAAGTGTCCGAACGGCACCAGGATTGCCGGTGGGGCCCGCTGGACCTTGCTCGCCTTGCTTGCCAGGTGCTCCTTGAGGACCAGGAGGTCCGCGATTTCCTTGCAGTCCGATCGAACCAGGCTAAAATGAAGTGTAAGTTACAACTTTGAAAAGAAAAGTGTTTTGCAAGTTAGCTTACCTCTCCCGGGGGCCCAACGGGTCCCATTGGGCCCATGGGTCCGGAAACACCAGGAGGTCCAGGAGGTGAAGGTTCGCATTCGTAGCAGAAATCCGCTTCTGTTGGGACTGCTTTTTCATCTTTGACATCAGGACCAGGTGCACCAGGATGTCCGGGATGGCCGTCAGCGCCGGGTTCACCATCTGGGCCAGGAGGTCCGATTGCGCCAACGGCACCAATACCACAAGAACAGCATGACTGTCTCTTTTGCCGTTGTCCTCGGTCGGATTGGATCTGCATAAAAATATAATTATAAATACAAAACAATGTGCAATATATAAAAACGGAAAAAGATCATCCATCGAGCATTCCAACCACAGCTATGGTTGCGGATCTTTCTTCACAACTCAAACCTGGTTTTACATCGCTACTAAACGTTCACTGCGGCAAGTAGGCTGCACTTATACTTGAAGAAAAAAATTAAAAAATGTTTGAAAACGTGTTGCATCTAAAACAGCGAAGTCTTCAGGTTTCAAAAGCTGGAAATATTTGCTTGCAGGGGGAGGGGGGGTTACAAAGATGAACATCTAAGGATCTGATAGCAACGAGAACTGATGGACTTGAATGCATCAACAAAGTGCTTCATTCAGACTTACTTTACTATACTCGCTACGAATTCCATGCGTTCTCGTACGGCAGTATGCTAGCTCTTCATGAACATTCGAATGAACATTTTGGAGGTAGAGGCATAGTAGAGGAATGCCGATAACTGCCGTAGTGATGGCAAGAGTGGAAACAGCAATACCGAAGTAAACTATTCGCCTGAGATCCGTGGCACGAGCTAAATCCTGTTTCTCGCTCATGGCCGGGCTGGGGTGGCAGCAATCGTATCATTACCAGTTACACACTTTTATGTGAGCTAGAGTGTAACCAACAGAGTTTCACTGAAGTGAGCGTAATCTAGATGAAAAACTCTGGGTGAGTGGAACATACTTCAACGCCTCCTTCAACGTAGACACGACCCAGAGGCGGCTGATAACGGGTGAATAAATGTGAAAGCAACAGTGCGACCAATGAAAAAACGTTGCTGTAAAAATCCTTTTGTCTTCCGTCTGATCTGAAGCCCAACGTGTTCGAAGGTGCCTATCAAGTCGTTCATAAAAAGCTCAAACATAAAAAATAGTCGTAAACGCGGTGAAAACAGTACCCTTCATCTCTTCTAGGAGGTCTATTGCGTGGGAGAAAAACAGGCCATCATTAGAGAATGGCACAACCTTCACAATGGGTTGTGATTGTGGCTTGGTAACATACGCTTAGAATAGAAGAAATGTCTGCGACGTCGCACCTCATGACATATTTTCTGATAATGAACGTGAACGATCGCTTCTACAGGGGGTTTGAATTCTTTTTCAAAAATTCTGACAGATGAGAGAGTGAGCAATGCATGGCAGGTAATTTTCCTCGGAGAACCTTTTAGCTCACATGAAGCATTTCTAGGTAGCGAACGAGTATACCTCCTTATGGGTCATGCGACGGATTGGCAATGCATCTGCTCACCTGTGATTAGTACGAGCTTCACGCTGCGGCTCGACAAACCTTTTTGTTATTCAGGGATTGTTGTGTTAAGCAAAATTTCCTCACTTAAAGGCACCTTCCGCAATAACCTAAGACTATCACCTCTTAAATGTGTCAGATGATCCGGTAGGCATTGTAGAGGCCGCACTGCTTTCAAAACTAGGAATACGGCACGCAAAGCGCAGGAAACTTCGATTTTAGTCCCAAGGAGGCCCATACCGGCCTACCGTGCCGGTGTCGTCGTACTAATGCCGTTGTGCTCTCTCGCCCGTCATTTTCTAGTCTCTCTCCGCGCTTTGCAGTGTATCATCACCTTCGGCATATCACTGTTTATCTTGACCATCCTACTCTCGTCCGATGATTGTGGTCAAGTGCAAGGAGGAGGGTCACATTGAGGACGGTTTTTCATACTTTTTTCTTCACTACTAAGTCAACTAGCACAATGCACTCCTGTTTTTGAACCCTGCCACCTTTGTTGTGCAGTCGCGGAAAGTGCCTTTAATTGACGGGGCAATTATTTCGGATACTTTTTCTTATACATAATTCCTATAGCTTCCAATAACTTCCAACGTGTGGTGTCTCAGAATTGACGTGATACTGAGCGAATGGCGAAACCTTGTCCAGATCTTATGAGAAATGCCTTGGCCTTGCTGTTTGTTGGTATTTGTATTCGAAATTATCAAATAAATGTTCTTGAAGCAGAGAGGCAAGATTAACCTAATTTAGAAGCCCTTCTTTGGATAAGGTGTCGCAGTCCACAATCCCCGAGGATAACTCCTGTTTACGACTCGGAATTGCTTGATGAGAGCCTTGGGGCTCAAGTACGTTTTCCGCTCCTCCATTTGCGAGCTCCATCTGTGTCATGTCGTTCCGCCATCGCTATATAGCGTTATGATTTCAGCAGTTTTTATATTTTGTCGCCATGCCATGGTCTGTTCCCTTTTTCACGCTTAATCTCTTCGCCGTGTGCTCACATGATGCATAGAAGCGAGAAGATCTTATTGATCGCTTCCTGAACGCATTTTTCTATTTATTCATCGTTGACTTTTTAGCACCTTGGCGTCGTGAAGTGAATTGCCTGCATTTAAATGGCGGTTGCGAACTCTGCCTCAAAATTATAACGTGAGCATTTTATGAGAACTGAGGGAGTAAAAAAGCTAGAGAGTAGACCAAACTTGAGCAAAAGCAAGAAGAGTCCTCAAGAACACCATAAACAAAATCGCCCCCTTGCAATCACCCGCACTGTGGTCCCTGTTAACCACTAACTCACAAATCGCTTTTTTGCAGGTCCCAGTAGTAATATCATCCAATGCAAAGAAAAGAATACGAAAAACAACAAAAACACCGACGGAAAACTCGTGACAAAAAGAAACTTCCAAAAACTCGGCGTACGAATTCAGGAGCCACCTTTTAGTGCGTCAAGCTTTTCCACGAAGAAAATTGCATACTCGTGAATTTTTGCGCGTTTTACTTTGCGAGATGCGTTGCATTGTCTGTATGTGCTCCTAATGAATAAAATGTAATAAAGGAGAGCAGAATTACTTATGGGCACGAGCGCGGTCAGCAAAAAGGACATGCAATTCCGATTAATGCCCGCCGCCCCAACAAAGAACAACTGAGCGGCTCTCCGTCAGAGGGCATCTAGCAAGTGGGCGGTCAGGGGAACTTCCGTCGGCTGTATGACTCACTCGCTGTGAAGTCGCGAGAGTAGGACAATCTCTTAGTTTGGGGCTAGATTGCTTAAACAAAGGAGGACGACCACGAAATACTCAATTGTGCTGGGGCTGTCCTTGAACTCACCGACGTCGCTGCTAAGTTATCAAGCCCATATGCATTCCTGAGCGTGGTGTTGTGTAACAGAGCACTGAAGTTCATGGCTCACTGATCGATTATCCTCAATATAAAAAAAACCTCGATATTGTCCTGCTCACAAACCACCTAGTAGTCTCTGGAGCAAAATTATCGGCGCTGAAGCATACTTGCTGAAAAGGCAAAATAGCGATGCCCTTTTCCAGCTTGGTAACATTTCCAGATGCTGGTGTTTGGGAAACTGAAGGCAACACGTAAACATCATGTCTCTACTGTTTCGTTTCCTGCTTACTCGCAATCCGAATCTTCCCCCGTTCGTGAAATATTTTGGAGGATTACGGACGCGTTAGTGGTGAATTGCAAGCGGGTTCCTATGCTCCAGACAAGATAACTTCTTTGAAACGCAATCTTGCGCAGAACTTAAAACCGTCATCAGTACGCCCAATGTTTCCCCTTTTTCAACAAGCGCTACAGTTTTCCTGAAAACCCATGAGTTCAAAAAGTATTTTAGATGGGTCATCCTTGGGCGACATTCTGAGCCACTCAAAAGCTCGACTCCTTCTGTGCCATTGTAAGGATACTCATTCGCGAACTTCAATATGCCTTCAAAACACATGCTTGCGCTTGAAGTGAATTTAAACGTAAGTTTCTCAATATAGATCGATTTGGTCGAGTGTGCGCCGTGCATTACGCTTCTACGCAGAGGTGGTGGGAAAGGTGTAACTTCTGATTTTAGGTGATTTTTCTCATGCAGGCAGATGTTCGTTTAAGATTCAAAGAGGCTGATACGCATGGATCAGTTTGAGATGTAATATTCAGTAATCTACGTACTTGCGAGCTCATGCCAACTGACGAGTTTGCCAATTAATCGTTCCAATACTCAGTAGTCTTCCTCCCGGGCCCTCTGCAGCACTGCGTCCGCTTGATCAAACTTAGCAATGACAAGTTTGTGGTTTTGGTGCCCACCGACCTTGCGTTTACAACCCCCCCCCCTTCCCAGCGACCAAGCACCCCTTGGGTTTCACACAACGATGTTGTACCCTCGACATGCAACGATGTCTCTATATATATAAACCAGAAGTTGTTTGTGTGTCTGTGCGTCTGTCTGTGCGCCTAAAAGTTGAAGACTACGTAAACTGCTTCTGTAGGACGGATTCTAATTGGGATTGATATGGGATGAGCCAATTTTCAGGGAGCACAACCGAGGTATGCCCTCAATAGGCTGGGAGTCTACCGAAGTGAGCGATGCCGAGGATAAGCATCCGAAAAACTCGACGAAGGGGGGGGGGTATATACAGTGCGTATCATAAGTATAGACACACCTCTAAAAGTACCATAGTGGTACTCCGTAGGAGCTTAAAGAAAGAAGTCTAGTTGTTATAGAGTTCAGCATATCTCGAAACCCTGTTTGACCGTTTTTCACGCCAACTGGAAGAAATCGGGAAATTTTTTATCAATAAGCTTCCAATCTAGCTGTATCATAAGTATAGACACACTTTGAAAATTTAGCAGAAAAGACATTCCTTTCTGCGAAAAGTTACCATTTCACGAAGGCAATAAATAACAACGACTATCCTGCACCAATCACCAAATGCCACGAGAATCTCATCCATCCGACGAAGAGCAGGCTCAGATTAGCGCCCTGCACACAGCAGGTCTGAGCAATCGTGAGATCGCTCGCCAGCTGCACCGTTCGCCTTTGGTTGTCAGTCGGTATCTGCGTGCGCCGGAATCCCATGAAGGCAACAGAAGATCTGGTAGGCCGAAGAAGCTCATTGCCCAAGACGAACGCCAGATTGGACGGCTTGTCTCCAACTCGACGATCAGCGTCAACGGCGTTCGAGCCAGCTGACCGACTCTCGCTTCCAAAATGACGGTATGGAGGGCGACCAAACGCAACAGCAACATTGCGCGATGCCGTCTTTGTCCAACTCTCCGACTTACCGAGTCTTACAGAGAGGCTCGGCTCCAGTTTGCCAGAATGAACATGGCAACAAATTGGTCAAAGGTGGGGCGCTTTTCTAAGCCTAGTCCAACGACGAAATTTTCTGTTTAGGTGGTGTTTTCCTTACGTTGTTTTTCTTAGGTGATTTCGGCGGAGGCAGTGCTTATGGTTTGGGGAGGATTCCACCGAGGCGGCAAGCTCGAACTAGCCTTCATTTCCACGAAAAAGAACTCAGTAGACTACCAGGACATGCTTGGGCGACACCTGCTGCCATTTGTCGCTAGTCACGGTAGAGGAGAGTTCGTTTTCCAACAGGACAATGCGGCCATCCATGTGAGCAGGTCTACTATGGCATGGTTGGAGGAGAGAAATTTAGTCACTATGGATTGGCTCGCTTGTTTTCCGGATGTAAAAGAACATCTGGGGTATACTTGTCAGGGATATTTACAGTCAAAGACGGACTTTCTCAAATGTCGCGGACCTCCGGACAGCAATCAGCCAGGCATGGGTTCGTTTGGATCCACAGCTGCTGAA